GGGGGGGGGGGGGTGACAGCATGTTAAACATTACAGCAAAAAAAAAACCCTAAAGGATAACATGGGGCTAGTGCTAAAAGAGTCATTTTACTATCTTTCCATAGTGGAATGGATGGGAATTGAGGGGTCCCTTGCAGGAGGCATTTACTAGCCTATTGATATCATTATCATGTATTAGACTTATGTGCCCTCTCCAAAAGAGGCTCTGGGCAGGTCACAATAAAAAACAGAATTTTCAAGACCGCTAAAAAATACGAATAGGTAAGAAAACAAATTTCTCAGACAACGCCCCAAAACTCAACCCTGTCTGCTGAAGATCTGCTCAAATTAAAAGGTGTTACCACATTGCAGAAGATTTCAGGCTCTGATGAACCACAAGGATGAACTACCACGAATGACCTCCCGGGTGTTATCACCAAGCACTGATGGGACTTGCAGGAAGCAGGCAGTATAACCTTTAGGTCCAAGTTTAGGTCTATAAGGCCAAACTTAGTTCTTTCATTTGCTTATCGGTAGTGAAGAGTAGGATCTAGCACGGTGGGATTTGCCAGAGTTGCCACAGAATCAGTGGCAGAACCCAAACCGAGAAAAATGTGTCCCACAATTCAGTCGCTTATATTCTGACTCACTAAAATGATCAGCTGAAGCTCAGACCTTTTAAATCAGACCCTTTAAAGTATGATTAATTTAATATCACTAAAATTGATTAGACAAAAACTAAATAAATGAGCAGTAACCACTCATGTAGACATGCCAACTGTGTCTTTGGTATACTATTCTGGGTAAGAAGCAAAAAAAAAAATGTATCAATGCAGGAATAAACTTGTTATCCTACAAAAAATACCAGTTTTTACAATAACTTTGACATAGTAATCATGTATATGTTGACAGAGGAAGAAAAGGGGCGAAGGAAATAACTTTAAAAAAAATGAAGCCTGTTGCATATAAACATAATGCAGAAGGAATCAAAAGAGAAAAGTAAGCTTAGCTTCCTATCCAAAATACGTGAATGGTTAGAAAGACCCATCTAAGAGATCGGTAGAAAAAGCTAACTGTAGAGCAAGTTTATGCTTGCATATGGGGGTATTTTTCAAAGGCACACATGGCAATTTGTGGCCTGCTCTGTGTTGACAATGTTGTAGGATAGGATTTGAAAATCTCCCCCAGGATGTGTGTGTGCATGCACACACATGCACAGGGATGCACATGAAACAATTCCATGATGTTCAATGCCCAAGGGAATCATTATGATTATTTCATTGGACATCCAGTACCATAAAAGCCCCAGCAGTTATGCGGTATTAAGCTGTCAAGTGTTGTGTGTGGGTAAACCCTGCACCCATTTAGATAACGGCCATGGCTCAGTGAGGCTCAGCATGGATGCTCACATGGAATTGAACACAGGATCTGGGTCGTTGTTCGTCTGCATGATTTCTCCCTCATTCGTTGCACTGGAATTGAGAAGTGGGGGTATTAATTCCAGAAGCACCCAAGCAGCCACAGTAGAGTTGTTGTGATCTGTGAAGGATCTTTGAAATAAAGAAAGAGTGCACTATCAATGAGGCTATTTGCACATTAAAAGTAATGGAGTTGGATGGGCCATTATCTAGGCAAAAGTCTCATTGGAGCCACTAGGAATTTTGCCTAATACATGCATGGAGTTGATCCCATTTCCTGCTGAGCCACGTCATAGACGCTTCACAAAACCAATGATCACATTTTTCAGCATTTTTTTTTTAAAGTGCACCTTTAATGCAACTTTCTCCTCTCTTCAGTAACTGGGAAAAGTGCAAAAGTTAATATGGGCATATTAATGTGTTCAGGCGCATTATGCTTCAGAAGAGATGAAACACAGAAAACTGAATAATTTGTCTTTGCATGAGTTATAGCCCTAAGGCAGGAAAATTAAACGGGGGATTTTTCCCACCAGTGTTAGTGTTTTCAACATGTAAAATATAGGATTTGGTCTCTCTCTGTGTAGACTTCAGCCCCTGAGAGCAATAGGGGCATTCTCTTCTGAATAAATGTCAAATAAAGAATGTATAATCCAAAGCCATGATTTTCAAAAGTGACAGGTGACACCAGATGCCTCAGTTCTTGGGTGAGCAGCTTTCGACACAGCTTAAAGAAGCCTGAGTTGTGCACAAAGCACTGACGGCAAATCAGGCCTCTTTTAAGGTGAGTCAAGTCACTCACCTAGAAGTGGATGTACCCCAGAACCACAAGTTTCTTTGAGAAGTCTGGGGACAAGGAAATGATCTGACGTTAAGTGGCTTGCCTTGCCAGCAGTTGCTGATGTCTCCCAAGTTCTACTTCTTTTCAGCATGTGAACTGCTTTGTTTTCCTATCATTTGGGGAAAGTTGTACACCAGAACGTGTAATTTTCCTTTTACAGCCCATTGGAAAGTTATTTGAAAGGAAGAAAATACTTTTTCTCCCCCACCTCCCCCCCGCCCCCCCTGCAAAATGTGCAATTGTTTTGAACTTAACGGCACATCTGGAAATCGGAGGGGGAGCAATTTAGAGGGCGTGAGCGATTTGAAACATTTCATGTTCTTTGCATGGAGTCGAACTTTTTTGAAGTCGTGCTTCCTTATTTCTGAACAAAGCGGGCTGTTCTGCCCCTGCCTTCCCCTCCTGAATTGTGCTCTTTGTGCCAGGGTGCAATAAACAGTGTGCTTTAAACTGGAGCTCTCCAGACTCTCATTCCCTTTTGAAAAGCGTAGGCAACTGATCGGCAGCACCCAGCCACATAGCCGGAGTGTTTTCCATACTAGGCAATATTATACTAATTTGATGCACGCATGGATGCTTCACACAATCTGCAAATTCATCGCTGGCAACTTGCACGAGTCATCTGACAGATTGCCAAACGTTTCATATTCCTTTCATGTGACTTTATTACAAAACACACCAGCGCTGCCTTATTTCTGCCAATAGCCAGTTTTGTACGAATACGCTGCAGTTCTGTTTACAACAGTCTTGTAAAGAAACCTCTACTTACTCCTAACTGTCTGCTGCGTTAAGATGCAGAGGGTCCAACTTGGGGCTTATGTTTTGCAGCTTTTTTCTTACATCATGCTATTAAGCAGCAGTCTGCCGTGAGCACCAGAGTCAGTGAGAAATGTAATTGCATTGTTTTGGGGGGGGTTTTGTGATATTTATGCTATTAATTAAACATGGGATTTATTCCCCCTTTGTGCCCATTGACATCATCGTCTCATATACCAAGCAACAAAATTGCTTCGTTTCCTAATTGTGTCTTTTTTTTTTTTTTTTTATCTTCTTGTTCAACTTTGTAGTAACGGCACAGCTAACAAGATGAACGGAGCTTTGGATCACTCAGACCAACCAGACCCAGATGCCATTAAGATGTTTGTTGGACAGATTCCACGTTCATGGTCGGAAAAAGAGCTAAAAGAACTTTTTGAGCCTTACGGAGCTGTCTACCAGATTAATGTTCTCCGAGACAGGAGTCAGAACCCTCCCCAAAGCAAAGGTATGGTAGTAGTAGCAATGCCGTGTGCATTTAGCTTTCGGTTTTAAAACGTGCTTATGTGCCAAGTGGTGTGCGTTTGGGGCATCTGTTTCAAAGCATGTTGCACAGAGTCATGCGGTTGACCCAGGAAGAGAACTTCTCTCTACCTATCGATTGCTGTCTTCCTCCTCCTCTTAAATTATAGTTTAAATGCCTGATACCTGGGAGAGAGCAGTCCAACTGTGCAAAAAATAGCAAAGAGGGCTGTCCTTGTTTAAATTATTATAGCCAAGAGGCAGAAAGAAACCCAAGCAGCCAGTTTCCCAGGGTTAGCTCATGAAAAATATAATTTTCTACCTCCTTTCACTTCCTCTCTTAGCACCACAGGTGGGAATAATTCTTGGGATACAAGGGAAAAGAAGGCAGAACTGGGCTCTTGCTGTGTCATCACTTCAGAGATAATAAAAGACGTGATCCTGCCTCATTTCCACATTTGTTTCTCTTTCAGTCACATTGGGGATTGATTTAGGCACGGTTACATCTCTAAAAGACAGTATTCCTTTCCCACATTGTGTAATATATCCACCCTGAACTCTCTCTGTGTGCACATAACTATATCCTTGCATATATGCATATAAATGTGTGTGTGTGTACACATACATGCACAATTCAAGAGATAAATATTTTGTACATCTGTCACAGAACACTTTTTTTTTTGCAGATAAAACCGTTTTCATTTTTTTTAAGCATTTTCTTATCTTCTCCAGAATGTGTGTGCTAAGTTATTATCAGTCTTGGAAATAATTAGAGTGAACTTTATGACATGTTGATCCCTCCAGATGTATATCCATGCCTGGACCTGGGATTTACTGGATGCTTTTTTTTCAACCTTAGTCTTTCCTTACTACTGCTTCAAAAACCTTTTACGTTCGCATGCTATGGAGAACATCAGAAAGTGATCTTGTGGCTAGCCACTGATTAACACTGTAGAGAAACACTCTATAAAGATTCCTATTTCATCTGCATTTGATTGCTCTCCTTTGGGAGCAATCCAGGGTTTTGGATGCACCATTTTCTTCTGTTCTCATTGCATTTATCAGGGATTAGAGTTTTTTGTCAAATCCTGCAGCTGTGCTGCTGGGACACTGATCACAACTCTTTGACCTGTTTTCCTTCCTATTACCCACTCCTGTTGTAACCCAGTAGAACAATTCGATCTGTCCTCATACTTTGTAGCATCACTAATGCTTTTCATATTCCCCCCATACATTACTACTCCCCATCAGAACAACTCTTGACCTTGGCATTGAGCAGATGTATAGGAAAAGTCTACACCAGCCTATTCAGGTGCATAACGGGTGTGTCTACACAAGACATTTACTGGGCAGTTGACTGATTAACTGCACAATGAATATCTCAGCGTCCCCACACGCGCTGCTAGGGTGCACAAAATGAATAAACTCTGCAGCAGGATAGGACATGTAAATGCAAGACTTGTAAATACAAGCCTACCCTGCTGCAGAGTTGGTTTTTTTGTGTGTGTGCAGCAGTGCACATGTAGACACTGAGCCAGCTGGCTGGGGCACAAGGGTGCTTCGGTTTCGGGGCTGCCTGCTGGCTAGGCCTTGTGCCCGGCTTCAGCACATTAAGCCCGGTCAGAGCAACCCTGGGTTGGTAAGCTGACCCCCAGGTCCCCTGCCAGACAGCTGCCACGACCCAGCTCAGTGTGCTGCGCTCTGGGTGCACGTGTAAATCATGCACCCGGGAGCTTCTCGGGAGCAATAAACTGTACAGCAATAAGCTCCACAGTTTATTGCTGCCCCCTAATGGCATCGAATCATAGAAGTCGGGTCGGAAGGGACCTTGTAGATCTTCAAGTCTGACCCCCTGCTTGGGCAGGAGAAAAACTGGGCTCAAATGATCCCATCCAGGTAGGCATCAAGCCTCCTCTTAAAGACCCCCAGGGTAGGAGCCAGCACCACTTCCCTTGGAAGTTGGTTCCAGATCCTAGCCGCCCTAACTGTGAAGTAGATGTCTAATCTAAACCTCCTCTCCAACAACTTGTGGCCGTTATTCCTTGTTATGCCAGGG